GTGGCGGTGACGTGGATGAGGCCCATGTGCTGGTGGATGATGGCTTTCGTCTGCCGATCTTCCTCAGGCAGGATGTCCAGGCTCAGAGAGACAGACAGACAGAGAGAGAGAGAGAGAGAGAGAGAGAGAGAGAGAGAGAGAGAGAGAGAGAGAGAGAGAGAGAGAGAGAGAGAGAGAGAGAGAGAGAGAGAGAGAGAGAGAGAGAGAGAGAGAGAGAGAGAGAGAGAGAGAGAGAGAGAGAGAGAGACAGAGAGACAGACAGAGAGAGACAGAGAGACAGAGAGACAGAGAGACAGACAGAGAGAGAGAGAGAGAGAGACAGAGAGACAGACAGACACACACATCCTCGTGTGAGATCACTCAATTATCAGGAGGCATCCATGGAGCAAATCACAAACCGTGGCATCAAACTGCCAGCACGTGTCCCTGCACCACCTGTCACCACACCATCTCCCAAGCACGCACCATTCAATGAGCTCGTCCTGGTCGTCCTTCTCCAGCGACGTCATGTACGATGGTGTCTGAGGAGCGTGGGCAGCGTGATCGCAGTTAGTGGTGTAACAAATGCAGCGTCAAAACAACCACACATACACACAAATAAAGACACGTGCACACACACACACACGCACACAAATAAACACACACACACATACAAACGTCGCAGGAGCAAAGGATTGTTACGACGACGACAGCAGCCCACCTTCCTCAGCGCGGTGTCGAGCAGGGCCAACAGCGCCTCACAGAGCGCCCAGTTGTACTGCTGCGATTCCTCCGCCCTGCGCTGGTACTCCTGTTGCCATCGGGTCGCCAGGTGAGCATGGGAGGGGGGAGACGCCAATGGCTGCACGAAACCGCTGGCACGACCGGCAAACACACACACGCACACACACACGCACGCACGCACACACACACGCACACACACACACACACGCACACACGCACACACACACACACACGCACATACACACGCACATACACACACACACAGTGCAGGACGAGGTTACCAGGAGGAGCGGGTGGAGGGCAGCGAGGAGATCCGAGGCGTCTGGGGACGTGTTGTCGATGGCGGCGACGAGGAGGTGGAGGACACGGATACGGCCAGCAGCCAGGAAGGACAGATGCGGCAGCACTTTGCTCATGATCGCACTCACAAACGCATCCAGAGAGACACCAGGCTGCAGCAGCGCCATGATGTGAGAATATGTGACGTGCGTGAAAGAATGGAAACAGCACACATCGAGCATCATCATCATCATCATCATCATCATCATCATCATCATCATCATCATCATCATCATCATCATCATCATCATCATCATCATCATCATCATCATCATCATCATCATCACAGCATTGGCTTCTCAACCCTTCTCCGCCCGTCCCGAAACCCTCTCATACTGCAACAGGAAGCAACAACAGCGGCAACTCTGCTTCACCTGTGCGAATGCGAGCGCCTGTTCGAAGCACGGAGCAAACATGTCGTACGCCGCATCGGACAGCGACTGCGATTGCATGGAGGGTGGAAGCGGGGCGTGCACGTGCGCGAACATACACATGAACAACCGAGCAGAGGCGTGGAGCAGACACATGTGGACGCACGCGTGCAGCAGAGCATGGCAACACCCCACCCCCACCGCACCAGCATGCGATCACTGGGCAACGCACCTCGCCAAGTTCGCCGAGTTCAGAGAGGTTGAACAGGAAATCCACCACCTCCTACACGAAGAAAGCGCGGACACGACAGACGCAACAACGAGCGAGGTGGTTATCACAACTGTCAGCAGTCATCTGCAGCGGCAGTCATCTGGAGTAGCCACAAAACAAGATAGCAAGCACACTCTTGAATGCGGACACCCACTCCTCAGTCCAGCGCTCCACAAATACACAAGGGCTGCAGGTTGACCTGGCATGGGGCCGCGTTGGTGTAGATTGGGAGCTTGCGAAGTGTCGGCACGAGCACCTCAAATTCTTCTTTGGTCACGTCGTCCAGAATCTTCATCATTGGACATTAGGGCACGCACATGCGTGAGAACTTGCGCTGCAAGCAGAGCACGATGACTGCAACGAGCGTGCAGCCGCAATCATCCCACAAAATCAAACAAACACGCACGCACACACACACACTCACACACACACACACACACACACACACACACACACACACACACACACCTCCAGAATGGCGGCCGCCATGATCTCCACGGCGGGAGATTCGGGTGGCATCGACGTCGCGTGTGTGTTCACGAGTTTCTCAATCACGGCCAACGACCCCTGGCGCGCACCATCGCTCACTTCGTCTTGCACCGCCACGTTCATGGCCGCAACGACAACATCTGGAAGCACACGGAGCGCATTCGGTTGAGAACACCAATCGCAAAGTGATCATGGAGCAGTGGCCGATCATTTGCGGGAGGTTCGTTCAAGTGGTGCATACACATGTCAACCTCACCTGCTGCAAAGCTTGCTGGCGCGCCTTGCAGCAACTCCTGTCCCACACGTTTGACATCTGCAGCTGAGAATCAGGGGCGCAGTCATGGTGCAGGAATACGATGAGCGCACGTAGCACCAGCAGACAGCAGCAAACCAATGCATCGCATCGCAGCGAGAGAGGGAGAGGAGTGAGTGAGTGCGAGAGTGGCAGCTCAACAAGCATAGCGCAGACATACATACACACACACACGCACACACACACACACGCACGCACGCACGCACGCACGCACGCACAGGTGGTGGACAAGGCCATGTCCAGGACGAGCTTGACCCAAGACGCTGCCAGCGCCGATACATCCTTCAGCGGGGCCAGGCAGCGCGCAACCACGCCGAGATCCAGATGCTGCGGTGCATGCTGGCCCGTGCTGCTGGCCTTCAGCACACCTTGCTTCCCACCTGTGCCCTCTTCGCCCTGCGCTGCTTCTGCAGTGGTGTGCTGCAGTACCTCTTGGCGAACGAGATCAAACACTGCCTGCGCATGGCGTATGACGCCGTCCGTGGTTGCTGAAGAAGAAGCGTCGGTGCCACCCGCATCAGTATCTGCCGGCGATTGCGCTGCTGTTGTTGCTGCTGCTGCTGTTGTTGTTGTTGTTGTTGTTGCTGCTGCTGCTGCTGCGGCCATGCTCTTCCCGATGGCCGTGCATAACAGCGGCAGTGCCTGGTGCCTCTGTGTCGTGTTTGCTTTGCTCAGCTGCACCAGTCGATCAACGGCAGCGCCGCGATCGCCCTCAGTGAACCCATCCTACACGTGGTGGTGTTTGAAGTGGTTGGGGGGGGGGTGAGTACTGGAGGATGTCGTTGTTGATGCTTATGCTCGTGAGATCTAACGGCTTCCACCACAACACGCTTTAGCACACACACACACGCACAGGCACACACAACACACACAACACACACACAACACACACACACACATTAGCATACAAACACATTAGCATACAAACACATACATACACGCACGCACACACGCACGCACACACACGCACACACTGCTGTCAAACACACCACAATGTCGTACGCAGTGTAGAAATCCATTGTAAGAAATGGCCACTATTCCGTGTTGCACACCCTCGAGCGGTCAAATACAAACACCAACCAGCAAAGCAGTCAGTCCACTGACCCTTGAACCAACCGTCGCCATGGCTCAGCAAGAAAGCAAGCGCAGCAAGGAGATGATTGGGGAGCTTGGCGAGGTAGGCTCGCTGGCACCACCGCAGCAGCGGACATTCAACGACGTGGCGGTGCCGCTTGTTGTCAAGTGCACACATCAGCCAGCAGCCGTGACTATGGACGGGGTCTGTGAGTGGATCAAAAAGAACCAGAGCACGCTGGAGGAGAAGCTCAAGCACCACGGCGCCATCTTGTTCCGCGGCTTCCCGCTCACCACCGCCCAGCACTTTGACTCGTTCGTGTGCAGCTTCCAAAGGTACACTGGGAGGATGGTCGCATCTTTTGTGCGTTTCATCGAACGTTCGAACGCCATTGATGTCACTTGGCGTGCCAGCGTCCATCCGACTTCAACATCAACACCTGCATCAACACCCACATCAACACCCGCATCAACACCCGCATCAACACCCGCATCAACACCCGCATCAACACGTGTATCACCCAGCAACTCTTACTTCCCCCCCCCCAGTCCCACAACGTCTCTTGTCTCACCTGCTGTCATTCCAACTGCTTTGATGCTCTCCTTCGCCACCCCACTTGTGTAGCTACAAGGACTTGCCATACTCCCGATCCCTGTCCTTTGCCGTTCGCATCCAAGTCACAGACCGCGTGTGCACCACAAACGAGGGAAAGAAAGGTGGCCAGGTACGTTTTACCCATGATACGCGACAGTGGCTGTGCTTCGCGTACATGCTCCTCCATCCCTTCTGTTGCCTTAGTCACCACACGGTCGCCTCATGGTCTTCTTCATCACACAGTTCCCTTGCTTACGCTTGCCCCTTCACCCACCCTTGCTCACCCGCACTCCCCTCACCCACGCTTACCTCAACCTCTCCCTCGACGGACACATAACAGGTGTTTCATCATGAGCAAGCGCAGACACCGTACTGGCCAAGCAAGCTGTTCTTCTTCTGCGAGCGCCCCGCAACGACTGGCGGAGGCACGGCCGTCTGCCCCTCGGACATCGTGTGCCAGCGCGTCAAGGAGAAGCACCCCGAGTTCTACCGGCACCTGGAGGAGCACGGCGTCAAGTACACGTCGTACATGGCCGCGCAGCAGGACACGTCCAAGGGCGCCGGCCGCAGCTGGAAGTCGTTCTTCGGGCGCGACACGAAGGAGGCCGTGGAGGAGCACATGCGCGAGCTCGGATACACGTGGAGGTGGCTGGAGGACGACACGCTGGCAGCAACGTCGCCCGTGCTCAAGGGCATCCGCACAGCGCCCGGCACGGACAAGGTGGTGTTCTTTAACCAGATTGTTGCCACCATCGCCAATGCGTCCGAGTTCAGCGGCACAGCAGACAGTGGGGACAGCGAGAGCAGTGACAAGCGCCTTGCACGGTTCATCTGCTTCGGTGACGACGAGCCCATGCCATACAAGGTGTGCCGTGCTCTGTGTTTGTGTGTGTGCGCGCGTGTGTGTGTGTATGTGTGTGTTTGTGTGCGTGTGTGTGTGTGTGCTTGTTTGTTTGCTTGTGTGTTTGTTTGTGTGCGTGTGTGTGTGCTTGTTTGTTTGTTTGTGTGTTTGTTTGTGCGCGTGTGTGTGAATGTGCATGTGAATGTGCGCGTGTGTGTGTGTGTGTGTGTGTGAATGTGTGCGCGCGTGTGTGTTTGTGTTTGTAAACGTGCTCTCAAAGCCTGTGTGCCTTTTTGTTTGTTACCTTCCTGTCTGCCCCCTGTGCACCTGTGCGCTGTACCATTGCTGCATTACCATTCCCAGCCCATCATTTGTACCTCACACGGCTGCTGCCCCCCCCCCCTTGGCGCAGGTCCTGCTTGACATCAAGGCCATGTGCGAGGATGCAGCCGTTGAGTTGGAGTGGCAGCCGGGCGACGTTGCGCTGCTTGACAACTACCTCGTCATGCACGCACGCCGCGCGTTTGATGGACCCCGCCGCGTTCTTGCCTCACTCGTCGAATAGATGCAGAGATGGTGGACGCAAAGGAAGGCGTGCTCTTGTTCACAGACACCTCAGACAGCCATCTGCACAGGCGCACAACCCAAAAGCACTCACGCTCACACACACACACACACACACACACACACACACACACACACACACACACACACACACACACACACACACACACACACACACCTCGGACAGCCATCTGCACAGGTGCACAACGAAAAAGTACTCACGCTCACGCACACCTACACGCACGCGCACACACACACACACGTGCGTGTAAGAAGTTGTATCATTTCATGTCATCGTGTTCATTCATCAGTTAAGACGTCAAATAAAGAAGCAGAACACCATGTCATCTCCACCACTGCTGCATAAGAATACCGCAATCCAACAAACCACCCAAGATAGCTACCGCAAGAAAGAGCACTGAACAACCCCCCCCCCCGGAACACCAGCTCTTGCACATACACAGTCACTGTGCACACGCTGTCAGAACCAACCCAACAAACACATCACTTCAAAAAACAACACTTCCACAAATGCCAACACGTCAAACATACGTGCACACACATACAATCGTCAACCATATTCGCACACGCTTCCAAACACATACGCACGCATACATACAAACACGCTGGCATCACGCTGTGCTGCCGCCGCCACTGCCGCGTCGCAGCAGCGGCATCTTGGGGGCAGCGGGCCGCTTGCTGCGCAGGGCCTGGCCACCACGACCAGACACAGAGGTGGTGGACGAAAACGCCTGCAAAACAGCTGTGTCCTTCATTTCGCGCGCCAGGCCCGCGGGCGTCTGCCCAAACGCGTCCTCCACGTGCCGCTTGGCAAATCTGCTCAACAGCAGCTGCACCACCTTCACGTTGCCCTCGCGCGTGGCAAGGTGCAGCGGCGTCTGGCTGTTGTTGGTCTTGATGTTGATGTCGCCACGGTACGCCAACAGCAGCTTCACGCCGCTCGCGTCGTTCTGCACGGCCGCCCAGTGCACGGCCGCCCACCCGCGCACGTCGCGATGGTCCGGGTTCGAGCCCGCCCGCAGCAGCAGCTTGGCACACCGCAACTGGCGCTGCCGCACACACGCAATCAGCGGCGACGCACCGGTGCTGTCCGCAGCATCAACGTCAACTTCAACATCAACATCAACATCAGCTGATGGCCCACCTCGCTGCCCCTTGTTGCCATCCCTGCTGTGAACACCACCACGAGCACCGCGGGCGCCACGAGCAGCACCGGGCCTGGGCTGCGGGGTCCTGAGGCTGAGGATGGCCTCGACACCGGGCTCAAAGCCGACGGACGCGGCAATGTGCAGCGGCGTGCGGCCGTCGTCATCTCTCGTCGCAAGCAGCGCCGACGCTCGCACCGCATCCGCAAGCAGCACACGCACCGCAGGCATGCACTGCGCCTCGCACGCCATGTGTAGCAGCGTCTCGCCACGGGGGCCGGCCACGCACAGCAGCTCGCCGGAGGGAATGGCACGCAGGAACGCGCGCACACCCGCACCATCACCAGCACGAGGGCCATCACCACGATCACCACCACGGGCTGTGGGTTCGTCGTCGCCGATCTGTTGCGGAGAGGGCGCGGACGACGACGACGGCGTTGTGTTCGTGGTCGCGATCGCGATCGCTCCACGCGCTGATGGCGATGCTGACGACGGCGACGACGATGATGATGGTGATGAGGATAATGATGCTGCCGACTCGAGTTGCAAGAGGGCAGTGAAGATGGCACCGCGTTCCACAGCGCTCGCAGACGCACATGCGGCCAACAGCTCCCGCTGTTCATTGCGCGCATCATCAGCACTCCACAACGACTGCTGTTGCTGCTGCTGTTGCTGCTGCTGCTCCTGTGGTGGCGGAAGTTGTGACGTTGGAGACGCTGTTGTGCATGCCCGCGCCAGGGGAGATGAAGCGGGCGCGCAGGGCACGGCCGGCGCAGCGGTGCGCGGTGGCTGGTGCGATTCGCGCGGGCTGGCGTGAGCGTGCACGTGACCCTGTGCACTAGAACCGCCACTCGTGTCGCCATCATGAGCAATGTCGTCGTTGTCATCGTCGTTGTCATCATCGTCAGCATGTGAGCGCGGCGTATGGCCCTGTGGCGGTGTGGTGCTGGCGGTCGTGCTGCCGTCACCCGGCGAACTGCCCGGCGATGACCACTCCCCACCACGCACAAGTGGTGATAATGACGATGACTCGTGTTGCTGTGCATGAGACACAGCAGGGCCAACAGCGTCACTGCCTTGCTCGTACCGCTGGGTGCTGTGCTGCCGCTCGCTGCGTGCCGGAATAGCACGGCGCGGCAGGACGGGTGTGATGTCTGTGCACAGCTGCTCCAGCGACAAAGAGCTGCCGTCGCCGGTCATCTGCAGGTGTAAGTAACGCGAGGGGTGCACGTGCACGTCTGGCTGCTGCTGTTGTTGTTGTGGGTCAGCAACGCTGCCAGCTGCGCGCGCGTGCGTGTTGGCAACAACAACCCCGATGTTTGCAGACCGCCGCGCCGCCGCCAAGTCCCGTGCACACGCGCGGATCAAGTCCTCGTCATTGGTGATCGCGCCGTCGTCGTCGCCATGCAGCGCCATCATGGGCGGCGGCGGCGGTGGTGCTGCTGTGGTGTGAGGCGACCACAGCGGTGCAGGGCGCAACGCATCGTCGCCACCAACGTCGCCATCGCCAACACCGATCACGGGCACGGGTCCCGCGTGATCAGCACCATCAGACTGCCACCCATACCGCTGCTGCTGGTCAAGATCAACGTCGCCAACAATGGGCGAGAGCACGGGCCGCGGCTTATGGTGATGGCGATCAAAGCGGACGTTGTGTGCGTCGTCGTAAGCGCCGTGCTGGTGGTCGCTGTGCATCAGTGCATGAGCATCCGATGAGAACACTGCAAAGTCCAGCGCGTCGTTGTCCAGCAGCAGCGGGTTGGTGGCCATGGCGCTGCCGTGCACACTCGACCCCGTGCACGCGCTCTCCGCAGGGCTGTTCGCCATACTGGCGTGCTCGCTGCCCATCCACGTGTCAGTCGTGCCAGGGATGCTGCTGTCGCTGTGATGAGTGGTGCCCGTGGTTGTGCTGCATTCTCCTTGTGCCTGTGAGTTGATAAACGCGTCCAGCGCCGTCTCACCACCACCACAGCCATCATCGTCCTGCTCCTCACCAATCGCCCCCATATGCGAGAACAGGGCGTCATCACCACGGGCCAAGTGCTGCTGATGATGCTGATGCTGGTCTTGTTGGTGCTGTTGCAGGTGCTGTTGGTGCTGTTGTTGGCGTTGTTGCTGCTGCTGCTGGTGTGGATCGTGCTCGGTGTATGCTGGTGGCTGGGGCGCGGGCCAGACCTTTGCAGAGGTGCTGGCGCTCCTACTCAGCGTGCGGATCAGAGCAGCCACCGACGACGACGACGACACCGAAGAGCTGCGGCGCCGCGGCAGCGGCTGGTACTCGGGCTGCTGGTGTTGGTGCTGGTGGTGCTGGTGCTGGTGTTGTGGTGACGTGACGCTGCTGTTGGTGTTGGTGCTGCTCTTAAAACGGGGATAAGCAGCATGGTCCATGTTGGGGTCAAAGTCGTCATCTCCGCGCATCGCCAGCAGACGCGACGACGATGACGACACAGCCGTCGCCATCCTGCCACTGAACTGCGGGCTGTCTTCGTACTGCTGCTGGTGGTGGTGGTGGCGTGCTCGCTTGGCCGGGAGCGGTCCTCCATCGCTCCACGCCGCAGCATCATCAACTTGTGGCGGTGGCGGTGGCGGGCTGGTGTGTGCGCCACCCTCATGCAGCTCAATGGCTTCAATCGTCACTCGTCGCTTGGCTCCTTTGCCAACAACGCCAATCACAACCAGCACACCCAGTGCAAGCAAACACACACCCGCGATGGTGGCTGCGCCCGCAGGCGACACGCTCACGCTGCCACCACTGCCACCGTCACCGCCATTGCCCGATGTCGTTGCCTGTGCACGGAGCACGGGGACACCAAGATCAGACGAGGACGCCCCAGCGGCGACAATGGCGTTGACATATCCTGCGGCGGCCTGCGAGGAGGTGATGCACCTGACGCTGCAGCGCGGGGTGATGGTGGCGTCAACTTGGAGCACTGGACGCGACGCAACATCGCCCTCGCGCCGCGCCCGCCATGGACGGTTGGCGATGGCGGAGGAGGCACTCAGCAATGACGGCGACGACGACAACGACGATGCTGCGGCAGATGCTGCTGATGATGGCGACGATGATGGACCAAACATGACGGCTTGGCGAACAGCGGCAAAGGTGACAAACCCGTCGAGCCGTTGGGAGAGGCGATATGCAAACGTGCTCTGCACGCGGCCTGTGAACACAGACAGCTCAAGGTCCAGAAACAGGCGCAGTGTGTAAGCCAGGCTGTTGTCGCCTGTATCCCACGTGCCGCAGCCGTTGTTGTCCCAGAGGCACTCGGAGGTTGCGCACGCCGGGTTGCACGCGTCGCCACCAAACGTGCATGTGCCGGCCGCCACCTGCTTGCAGATGGGGGCGATGGCCACGCAGTCGTCGCCGTCAAACACACACGCGGCGGTGTTGCACGAGGGGTCGCACACGCCGTCAGCGAACACGGTGCGGCAGGTCTGGTTGGCGCAGGCGTGCCAGGGGTTGATAAGCGTTGCCTCCTGGTTTGAGAGGCGGTAGATGCGGTTAAGGTCGGTGATGTTGCCGCGGGAATTGACGACAGCGGTGTTGGCCGACGCTTCGCACGCGGCCCCAACCCACCCAGACGCACACACGCACCTGCCAGCACGGCAGCGGCCGCCATTGAGGCACGTCACGCCCGCACACGACGCAGTCGAGCTCGCACTGCTGGTGGTGGTGCTGGTGGTGGAACTTGTGGTTGTTGTTGTTGTTGTTGTTGTTGTTGTGGACGTGGAGTTGGTTGAGGTGGTGGTGGTGGTGGTGCTGCTGCTGCTGCTGCTGCTGGTTGTTGTCGTTGTCGCAATCGTGGTGGAACTTGTGGTGGTCGTGGTGTACTGGCAAACGCGGTTGCTGGTTGGCGTTGGTGGCTGCACCTCCACCTGCCCTGGAAAGCACGGCATGACGGGATAGCACGCGCGGTCCTGCGTTTCGCTCGGCGCCTGCGCCTCATATGTGTTTGGAAAGTCGCACGCGGGAGACACGGCCAGGCAGATGGCGTCCGTGGAGCGCGTGGCTGGCTGTGCCTCGTACTGCGCCGGGTACGCGCACGCCGTGATGTTCTCGCACGTGTCCGTGTTTGTGTTGCGGTACATGCCTTGGTCGCACTCCACATACTCGCACGTCCAACCCCACGCATTGGAAGGGCACAGGCACTCCTGGGTCTGCTGGCCGCCGAAGCTGTGCTGGATGCACTCGCCACCGTTGATGCAGTCGCCAGGGGTGTCCGCGCACAGCTCAAACTCGCACGCGTCGCCCGTGTGCGTTGACGGGCACACGCACCGGCCTTCCTCGCACACTCCTACGCCACAGCCACCAAACGGGCAGGTGCTGGTCGTGGCGGTGGTGGAGAGGGCGCCTGATGTGGGTGGTGCCGACGTCGTCGTTGCGTTGGCAGCAATGTCCGTTCCATTCAACAGCAGAGAGCACACCAGCGTGCGGAACTCGTGCGGGTCCAACGACGCGCTGCCGTCGGTGTCAAAAGAAAAGGCCCTGCAATGGAAGACACCGGTGTTGGGGTGGTGGGTGATGAGTAGAGCGCAAGTGCACCACAACAGAGACGTGTGAGCTGGTGCAAGTGACAAACAAACACACACACACACACACACACACACACACACACACACACACACACACACACACACACACACACACAAGCGAGCGAATGGATGAAGCATGCATCCCTGCTGCCAAGCGCGTGCGCGCTGATTCAAACGAATCAACAAGAGAGAGGATGCATGATGGCACAGGTGCAAACAAAGCACGCACAGACATGAACGCACAAACAACGAGCGCACTAAAGGAAGCCGAGGGCAGACAGGAGGCAGGCGATACAGTTGCACTCACAAAGAGATGTTGGGGCAAGTGCCGTTGATATCAGAGGCGCAATATGCCGTGTATTCTGCTGACACGATGGTCGTGGAGTTGTCGGAGTCCATTTCATTGAAGAGGCCCTCAATCTGCAGCAGCACCGATTGGTCATTGCAGGTTTCCTCGGTGGCTTGGCAACTTATCGCCGCGCTCCACAGAACAGCGGCGACAAGAACCAACGCAGCTGCGAGGTGGCGAGCCGACATCCTGATGAGTCTCGAGGAGCGCCACCGCATGTGCTGCTGGATGGGCGTCTTTGAGTCGCACGCGCGCGTGCGTGGACAGAGGGGGACGCTGACAATCTTCGGCGCTGAAGGAGGTGCTCACTTCAACACTGTGTTTGTGTCATCCAGTCTCAGAGACGCAGCAAGGAGAGGGGAGAAGAAGGGAAAAGAAGATAACGGCGCCAAGGAGGTGGCAACAGTTGTTTGTCGCTTGGGGCGTAAGCCAAACAGCTCATCAAAAACACAAACACAAACACGGGTGCGTGGTGGAGGGGTGGCGTTCGTATGGGGTGCTGAAGGAAATGGTGTGAAATGATTGGTCAAATTCACAGAGCGCGAAAACAATTTTTATTCTTCGGCTGACACACAAAAGAAGAGACGACCACGCGACCACCCAAGATCAGGGCAAGAGGCGAAGCGAGCACAGCAAACAGGTGCAAACAGCAGCAGCAGCAAAGCAAGGCAAGAAGGAAGCAGCAGCATGCCTCGCAAGAAGACCAAGGAGCAAGGGTCGCTGGGCAAGACCCTGATTCGAAACCGGTTTCGAGGCCAGCGCACCGTCAACAACGAACGATCGCTGGTGTGTTGAGTGTGTGTGTGTGTGTGGATGGGCATGTATGTGCATGTGTGTTTGTGTGGATGCGTGTTTGTGTGGATGTGCATGTGCATGTGTGTGTGTGTGTGTTTGTCCCTTCACCATGTGCCACAATGCATGACTCGTGATTTCCTTCCCACACCATTTTCTCGTTCACACACACACTCACTCACACACACTCACTCACACACAACACACACACACACACAACACACACACACACACACACACACACACACACACACTCTCTCTCTCTCTCTCTCTCTCTCTCTCTCTCTCTCTCTCTCTCTCTCTCTCTCTCTCTCTCTTTCTCTCTCTCTCTCTCACCCACACACACTCACACACACACACTCATCCACGTGCACACGCGCATTCATCCGTCTTCATGGCTCTCCATGCAACCATAAATAGAACCACACGTCGGACCTCGATGACGGTGCAGACTGGGCTCGCCTCGGTGGCGTGTCCATCACGGAGCAGAATGCCCTGGATGAGTTCCTCGCCACAGCCGAGCTTGCCGGCACAGAGTTTACGGCCCAGCGCCTCAATGTGAAGCTGGTCACGGGCCTGCAAAACGAAGCCCTGCCGTCACGCGAGAAGCAGCTGTGCGTTCACACATGCGTCTACCTGCGTGTGTGTGTGTGTGTGTGTGTGTGTGTGTGTGTGTGTGTGTCTGTGTGTGTGTGTCTGTGTGTGTGTGTTTGTCTGTTTGTCTGTCTATGTGTGTGTCTGTGTGTGCATGCGTGTGCATGCGTGTGTGTGTGTGTCTGTGTGTGCATGCGTGTGCATGTGTGTCTGTGTGTGTCTGTGTTCTGCACACTTCATGCATGTGCTTTCTGGTGCTCGTCTCTCCATGTCTCTCGCGCCTCCTGCATGCACTTGAGTCCCAACATGTGCTGTTTCCTAACACCCTCTCCTTGCTTGCAGCGCGACTGCGCAGGCCCAGAGTGCGAACCGCAAGCGGCTCCGCGTTCCCCGCAGACCGGAGTGGACGCGCGACATGCCAAAGGAGGAGCTTCACCTCAAGGAGCGGGAGAGGTGCACTTTCATGCCGTGCAGCTGTGTTTGTCGCGTTTACCTGTCATGATTACCTGTCACGCTTGCTTGTCATGATTGCTTGCTTCACTCGCAGCGTCGCTTGCCATGATGTTGCACCACCATGCATCTCGTTTCCTTGTCCTCACCACGTCCACCCCTTCTCCTCCTCCTCCTCCGTTCCCCATTGCTGCAGCTTCCTTGAGTGGCGCCGCGGCCTTGCGCAGCTGGAGGAGATGGAGAACATCGTCATGACGCCGTTTGAGCGAAACCTCGACTTTTGGCGCCAGTTCTGGCGCGTCGTGGAGCGGAGGTCTGTGTATCTGTGTGTGTCTGTGTGTCTGTGTGTGTCTGTGTCTGTGCTCCTGTGTGCCATCTTTGGTGCCCCCGCCTTCGTTGCACTCATCGTCCAATCCTCTCACCCCCCCCCCCCCAAACACACACCCGCATCACCACTCACGTGCCCCTTTTTACCCTTCCAACCAGCGATGTTGTGGTGCAGATTGTGGATGCGCGCAACCCGCTGCTGTTCCGCTGCCCAGACATTGAGGAGTATGTACGCGAAATTAGCGCAAGCAAGATCAACCTCCTCCTCATCAACAAGGCCGATCTCTTGACCGACGAGCAGCGGTGAGAAAAGCAGTCGCCGTGTTGTGTACCCAGCCACGTCTACCATTTCACTTCCTCGCACACATATGCGCACACACATATGCGCACACACACACGCACGCACAAACACACTTTCTCTCACGCAATCACTCACACAATCACGCGCAATCACGCACAAACACACACACGCACAAACACACACACGCTCTCACAAACAATCACTCACACTCACACAATCACACACACTCTCTCTCCTCCCCGAAATACACACGGCAGGAACGAGTGGGCACAGTATCTGACAAAGGCGAAGATTGACTTTGTGTTCTTCTCTGCAGCTGTTGAGGCACACAAGAGCGAGCTCAAGGGCGAGTGGTACATGCGGGGTCCGTATCTGGAGATGGCGCGACAGCAGCGCGAGGAGCGAGCACGACAGGAGGAGGAAGAAGAGAGGCGGAGGCTGGCAGAGGAGCAGGACGATGATGATGAGGGTGATGATGATGGTGATGATGATGGTGATGATGATGGTGGCGATGATGGTGGCGATGATAAGGACGAGGAAGAGAAGGAAGGCGCTGAAGTGAAGGAAGAGCAACAAGCGGGGACAGAGAAGGGCACTGTTGCTGTCGTGGAGACGCTTGCAGAAGACAAGAGCGCAACGGAAGAAGAGAAGCCAGCGGATGAGACCCTTGAGGCTGAGGCGACGGCCACCGACGACAGCAACACCGATGCATCGACGACACACGCGTCGCCATCGTCGTCCAGCGCACCGCAGCACAGCAGCAGAGAGGTGAGGTGGTGTCGTGATGACGCATGTGTAGTGACATTCGACGCGGATACACACTCACGCACACACACTCACGCGCGCGCACACACACACACACACACACACACACACACACACACACACACACACACACACACACACACACACACACACACACACACACAAACAAACAAACAAAAAAAATCAACCCTCCCTTTGCTGTCCTTCTCTGCTGTGCTTGACACAACAACAGCCGTCTTGTTCATTTCATGTGTGAAGGAGAATACATGTCATTGTGTACACGCAGCTTGCTCTCGTTTTGCTCACTTCTCTGCCGCCGGCACACATCCACACTTCTTCCTCTCCCACGTGCCTGCCTTTCCTTTGCATCCCTGCCTGCGAATGTCATGCCAATACTCGATTGTGCAGGATCCCAGCCGCCCCCCAACAGCGTTTGAGTTTCTCAACGCGTTTAGCTACGCCCGTGGTTTCATGAACCCGCGTGGTCTTCCAGACACGAGCAGGGGCGCACGCATCGTGCTCAAGGACTTTGTCAAGGTGTGCATTTGTTTGCGCGTGTGTCTGTACGTTGTGCTGTGTTGTGTCGTGCCTATGCTTTGTTGTGTGTGTGTTGTGTGTGTTGTGTGTGTGTGTGTGTGCGTGTGTGTTGTGTTGTGTTGTGTTTGTTCACGCGTGGCAGCGTGTTCGACGCCAGTGCACAGTGTTGGTGATTGCCTTCCATTCTTCATCACCGTGGTGATTGCGTTGTGCAATGACAAATGACAGGGCAAGTTGCTGTACTGCCACCCACCGCCAGGATACAAGTCATCCCCAGGCACCACCACATTCCTCACCTCTGAAACATGTGCGGCTGCTCGCATAGCTGTGTGTCTGTGTCTGTGTGTCTGTGTGTGTGTCTGTGTGTGTCTGTGTCTGTGTGTCTGTGTGTCTGTGTGTGTGTGTGTGTGTCTGTGCATGTTTGTGTTGCTGGCTGGACGCCATCCTGTGCTTTCTTCTCTTCTTGTGCCGCGATTGCCCCACGTCTCCCCCTCCCCACGTGCTCACCTTGAACCTTCCGCACCACGCCACGTGATGGGTGGCACAGCGCGGCCAACGAAAGCGCGCGAGATGGACGCAGCAGCCGTCGTCGGTCCAAAGGTGCGCTGTGCTGTACATTCCAACGTGAAAACACGCATTCACACGCGCACATGCATCGCATGCACGTTGCCAGGCAATTCACTGTCACACTCCATTGCTCTCACCATCACCATCGTCATTATTGTGTCCACAGCACCGTCCAACGTATGCCAATGAAGTTGACGATCAGTTTTTCCGCCAGGCAGACGTCAAGGCGGTATGTGACTGTGTGTGTGTGTGTCTGTGTCTGTGTCTGTGTCTGCAACTCTGTCCATGTCTGTGTCTGGGTGTTCTTCTCTGGACCTTCATTTTCTCCCTGTCTGTCTCTCTGTGGCTGAGTGATGCACTCCGTGTCTTTTCCCTCACCTGTCTCGCTGCATTGTCTGACTTGCTTCACCATCCTCCCAGGTCATCAAGGGAGTGCGCACCAGCTCGTCCAATCAGCCCATGCCCACCGTAAGCTCAACACCTGCAGCACTTGTAATTGCGTCACATGCTGCTGTTGAATGATGACACACACACTCTCACACACACACTCACTCACTCACACTCACTCACACACACACACTCTCACACACTCACTCACCACACACACTCACTCCCTCACTCACCCACACACTCACTCACCCACACACACACACTCACTCACTCACTCACTCACCCACTCACCCACTCACCCACTCACTCACCTCATCTCCATGCTGCGGAAGGGCAAGAAGCACCACAAGAAGAACAAGCGCGAGAAGCTGCGGCGCTTGGCAAAGAAGCCGTAACTGCTGTCCATCGTCAACACAACATCACGCTGCCTGTGGTCCCTCATCTTGACACACTTCGACTTGATATTCATCTTCCTCGTCTCCTCTCTCTTAAAGCCTCAACCGCTCGCAATGACACGACGTGAGATGACACAATGAACAAGTGGGTAGGGTTGCTTTGTGGTTTATTCCTCGGTCGCAACTCATGAACGCACAACGGTCACGAGTGCCAGCGAGAATACAAAGAAACCCCCATGACTCCACATGTGCGCCATCTCGTCTCCACCATCGCCACCGCCTCAAAACAGCACTGGGGGATTGAGAGGGGATGGAGAGAGAAGCAAGGCAGCACAGCTAGAGCGAGCAACGAGTCAAGCAGACAACCAAGCGCAGGCGCTTAGTCCTCCTCCTCCTCCTCGGCGCCCTCGACGTTGAAGTAGCGGACCTCGTATGTGGTGGGGTTGCTGGCGACGACGCGCAGGTACTCGCGAAGGCTGATCTCCTGGTTGACCTTGGTCTTCTTCAGGAACTTCTTCGTCAGGTACTTGATGTAGCTGTGTATGTTTGAGGAGGCGGAGTGAGGTGCAGTTGAAGCAAAGCAGAGTGAGTGAGGGGGACAGTTGATAAAGAGCGAGGGAGCACAAACAAAGTCAAGAGTCGAGGACATGAAAGCGTGCGACGAGAAACACACGCACACGCAGTCGAAAATAAACACACACACACACACGCACACGCACACACAGTCGAAAATAAACAAAACACACATACACAC